AGGTTTTGCTGGAGGCTCAAGGATTAATGGAACAAACAGTGTTAAGGGTTCTTCTTGACTCTCGGACTGCAATTTTGATTCACCACCTAGAACTTCATTTGCTGTTTCCTCTTCAGCCATAAGTGAGGTCTTACCAATTTCTTCTGTTACCTCACTGTTAAGAGGTTCAGATGGAGTTTCCTAAAAATCACATTTCTAAGTCAAGATTATGCCCAACTATTGTTCCCAAACACTAATGAGTGTATCTGTGATCTAAATTTGCAGCTTAATCTGAGAAGCAGCTAGCTCAGGTACCTAGAAATTACTAAGAAGGTATAGTTTAGTGTAGTTACCCAACTACTTAACCAGCATATTGGCTTGGTGTTGTGACCTGCACTAAGTTTCTGACCATGGCTTACACTGTTAGGAGCCAAGCCGGGTAGTTTTTATGCATCTCACAAGCATACATGCTGTAGTCCTTCCTTGAAACCATAAGTTAACAAACTCAACACATAGTGTAAGATCCACTTTCTCACCAATCAATCAGTAAGAACATAAAACCCTGGAGGTATCGCTAGGCACAGAGGGTACTCCCAGATTTTAATTCAAGCGAATAACAATAAAAGATAAAAGTTGGAGATAAGAGTTGGATTTTAAAAAATCAAAGCAGGCAAGCTTTATGGGGAGAAATAAAGAGTCAACAGCAGTCACTGAAGTATACCAGCTATTAGTGTCTTCAAATAATTTTTTTTATCCTTTTTTTAAATTAGAGATACTGGACTCTATTTGACTCTACTTCAATTCTGCACAATATTTGAGTAGGACAAATCAATTAAGAAAGTTAGGTTGATAGACAAGCTAGAAATTCACCTTACTGAAGATCCTATTAACTCTATCATTCAAACTAAGTAAAGTAATATTCCCTGATACTAATTCTATACTAGCTTCAGCTTCTCAGATATACTTCTCAACAAACCATTTGTACAAAAATCAGAGTTGATAGTCACGTGGATCAAGGCAGCAAGGGCCATACTTAACAAACTAGTTATATTCCAATCTTCTTATCTTTTCGCTATCACATCCAGCTCACCTCCTCACTCCGTTTCTCAGGGGGTGATGCAAGTAACTCCATTTCTGATACAGATTGGTCCTCATTTTCAACAATCATTTCCTCATCATTCTTAACAGCATTCTCCTCAGGTTCTAAGTCTTCAGAGCTTTCAAATGTGTGGGCAGGAAATTCCAGCCTGCAGCAGGTATTAAGATATATCTTTTAGATTAATACATAATTTTGGTGATCTCAGCAGCAGGGAAATTCTTTCATGACCAATTTTAAACTGCTATCACATACTTGCCATAGGAAATAAGAATCCAGAAAACTAAATATATCTAAAAAGAGCTAACTCCTAATTAGGAAAAATAGATTAACTAAAAAAAATTGCTGTGACAATTATCAAATGAATACATCTATCCCACCTGCATTTTATGTGAATAAGAGTCAGCCTTGGTTCTCATGAGAGACTTCAATCACCCTAATATCTGCTGCATAGCAGATAACGGCTACACAGCTAGGCATGTGCAGTCCAGGAGGTTCCTCCAGTGCAATGATGGTAACTTTTTGACTCAGGTGGTAGAGGAGTCTAAGAGACTACTTGTAAATTCCCTGAAACAAGAGGTGAGAGACAAAGGGAGGAGGAGGCCCTATGAGGAATGTCTCAAACACTTGCAAGTGCCTTGAAATGTGGCTATAGCTGGGAGTGGATAATGTGGAGTCTGGATGGTGTAGGCCTTGTGCTCAAAGAACTGATAAGGGTAACAATTGCTTATCTCGTGTGACTCAGGAGAGAAAACTCATCTGGATAGCACAGGATACATCTGCGAGGGAGGGAAGTCTTGTGAAGACAGGGCTTTCTGCTCAACTTGTGAAGCTTGTTAGTTCTCTGTTTTCAGGGCCATCGTGTCTGACGAATGATCTTTGCCTCATTATCCACGAAATGCATATTAAAGTTCACACCCCCTGCATATGCTAATGAAGAATATCGAGATCATGCTAAACATATGTGACTATAGGGCTCATCTCTCCACCTAAATCATGCTACATGTCACCTGGGGAGAGAGAAAACTGAGCACTGTAACAGCGGGGTGGGTCATACTGATACCACAAACATAAAGGGTAAAATAAGTGCCCCTAGAGAGACTTTTTTCCCTGGGGATCTGCAGAGAAGCGCTTCTACGAACCAGAGACCCCCATTGGCTGGACCAACGCTGGAACCAGTGATATAAATTGGGTTTTCAGGCAGGCGCCAAAAAGGTTAAATTGCAGACAGAATGGAAATAATGTAAAAAGAGATAACTGCAAAGAACTCAGACAGCATGGACTGTAACTCCAGGCTGGAGCGGGAGGCCAGTACAAGTCAGTCTAGGAGGTTAAGCGCACAATTATGAGACTGATATGAAAGGAATCTGCAGGACAGAGCACAAAGCTCGCCCAAAGAATAACAAGGTGGCCTCTTCAAGAAAGAGAAAAGAAACCACCAAGGACTCTCAGGACCACCGCTAAGGAAGAAAGTACACGTGTGGCTGGGAGGGGTTAATGAAATGATTTTCATATGTATAATTGTCATGAATATGTAAAGCCTACATTGTAATAAATAGGGTCTAGCTAAAAGCTGTGGTATGCAGGCTGGGCAGAGTGATCCCCCGTGCATCCAGTGCTGCAATAAAGAGAATGCCTGCTTCTTAATACTACATTGGTGTTAAGGAGTTTATTCCCGATTTCAGTGACACCAGGACCAGTGATCGCTCTTTTTCTCTATCCCTGTGTTTCTTTCTTTTCTTTTTCTTTTAAGTTTAAGTATGTAATGCAATGCATACCTTACCACTTGCCATAATTTATGGTACATCTGTTAAGTACCACTTGCCATAATTTGTTGTATATCTGTTGCTAAGTAACACAAGGCGTACGTTACCACTTGCCATACTTTGTTTTACTGTTTGCCATAATTTGTTTTATACCTAACCAATTATCGCTGAGCTAGTTAAGACATATATTAATCACTGTGGGAATCTAATAAATGTTTTTGTATGGACCTTGAGAGTTGTCCACCTTAGTCCACACCACTGGGGATTTGCGAATCTTAGTCACTTCCCCCCCCTCCTGAGTGGGGTGTGACAAGGAGCAAACAAGGAGACGTGTACTACTGGACCTACTACCAAGAAACAAAGAGGGATTGGTGGAGGACATAAAAGTTGGGGGCAGCCTTGGCTGTAGTGATCATGAGAAGATAGAGTTCAGGATTAAGTGCAGTATGCACAAAATGACAAGTAGGACTACAACCTTGGACTTCAGGAGGGCTAACTTTGATCTCTTCAAGAAACTGCTTGGAGAAATCCCACAGGTTAGGGCTCTAGAGGGTAGGGGGGCTCAAGAGAGCTGGTTGATATTTAAGCATCACTTCCTCCAAGCTCAGGATCGGTGCATCCCGAAGAGAAAGAAATCAGGCAAGGCAAGCAGGAGACATGCATAGCTGAGCAGGGAGCTTCTGAAAAAGCTCAGGTGGAAGAAAAAAGTTTACAGTACGTGGAAGAAGGGACTTGACCACCTGGGAAGAGTACAAGAATGCCATCAAGAGAATGCAGGGATGAAATGAGAAAAGACAAGGCCACCTTGGAATTAAATCAGGCAAGGGATGTCAAGGTCAACAGGAAGGGTTTCTTCAAGTACATAGGCAGTAAAAGGAAAACTAGGGAAAATGTGGGCCTGCTGCTGAATGAGACAGGTGCCGTGGTGACAGATGATGCAGAGAACGGGGAGTTGCTGAATGCCACCTTTGCTTCTGTCTTCACTGCTTGGGCCAGCCATCAGGAGTCCCAGACTTTGCAGGTGACAGAGAAAGTCTGGAGGAAGCAAGACTTTCCCTTGGTTGACGAGGAACAAGTTCGAGATCAGTTAGATAAACTGGATACCCATAAGTCTATGGGGCCTGATGGGATGCACCCTCGAGTGCTGAGGGAGCTGGGGGAAGTCATTGCTGGGCCACTCTCCATCATCTTTGAAAGGTCCTGGAGAACAGGTGAGGTGCCTGAGGACTGGAGGAAAGCCAATGT